TTTTAATATATAGAAGATATGTATATGTATATATATATTATTTTTAATTACATATTTAAAAAAAAATTAATTTTCACAAAATATATTCTGAAAAATCTCCTTGACCTCGATGTTCAAAACAAAGTACAAGACAAGAACTTATATTATGGGCTGAAGAAATTTAACAAATAATGCCGATCAAGTGAAAGCTTTAGCTTCTAATTATCCGCCACTCATTTTTTTGTCCACTTCCAAAGAAGAAAAACAAATAACGTACGCTTTCTTCCATAATGCATTGATTTGACTTTTGGCTTTTCTAGAACGTTCATGTTTGGCCACCTTGTTTAAAGTAATTGGCTTTTCTAGAACGTTCATGTTTGGCCACCTTACTTTTTAATTGATCTGAGATTTGCTTTATATTAAAAGATTACACCCGGTTTTGATTTTATATTTTGAGAAGTGATTTCATGAAAAATTATAAATTCATCCCAAGCTCAAATAGAAGAGGAAATTTTTTAAAACATTATAATTCTTTTGACAAAAATAATATTTTCTTTAAAAATTTACGTCTTTATTAAACTTTGAGGGTAAAAATATCAATTTTTAGCTTTTTACAAAAACCACGAGCCACCTAGGTCGCCCCACCAAGGAGCAAGTTGATGGGGTCAGTCAAGTCGGGGTATATGGAAACAAGCTAGCTCACACTCGGTTCATTCCATATGCGAATGCAATCTGGCTCGAATGGTGGATTGAGCTGAGCCCGTTGGTAAACGAGCCAAACTGCTCAACTCAACCAACTTAACAACCATAATATTTTGAATTCAACATTTGTGGATCAAAAAATCACCCAAACCCCGTACGGCAACTACAGTTATAATAATATCATTAAAATTCGCTTGAACTTTTGGACGTATTAAAGTTCGAGAAATGATAGAATACTTGTCAAGGATGCGTTTCTACGTTTGAACTTGCAGCATTTAAAATGATTTTGACAGATAGTATTGAAAAAAAGGTCTAAGCAAAGGCATGTGCATACACTTATTCTTGATTTATTTTTGATTTATTTAATTTGCTGTCAAGAATTCCAACGACATTCTTAAATTCAACTGGCTTGAAAGGTCCATTTCACCTGTCTTTGAGGCGCATGTTTTGCGTAGTGGCATTTTTCTAGAAGGGTATATTATATACAAATAAAATGTCTTCAAACTTCTATCACTTCATTGTGGATTTATTTTCATTTTATTTTTATTGATAGTAAAAACATCAATTTAAAGAAATTTTAACAATTGTTGTGTTATATTTGTTAGAATTTGAATATAATAATGAAGTAACTTCTTGAAATTATAGTACGACTAATATTAAAAAAAATACGGTTCAACCTTTCTTGTTGTGCATTTACCACCTTATAAAGCGCACTAGAATGGAGCTTGTCGATTACTACATTTTACAAAGTATGAAATTTGACTCTTTGTGGGCACCAATATGACAGCTCTTGTACTCTGACATGCTGATGCACATCCCGCGATTTACTTCATCCAGGATGCTCTAGGGGCGGGGTTCAACATTTTTAGAATGGAGCTTGTCATGTTAATCGTGTCAAGTTACTGAGTTCGACGTATACTTGTGTGCAATCATTCTTTTTGGAGAGATTTAATTGGTTGGAGAGCTCGATGGCAATGGATTATCATAATACCTAGCAATCAAATAGGAAATACTTTTTCAGTCGCATTATGATTATGTTTTCAGACGACGTCTTTCATTGATCGACGTGTACGGGTGGAACACTGTGTTGACCATTTCGAATCGTTTTGATTTTGATGAGAAATGGCTCATTTCATCAATTCAAAGTGGACCTTTAAGTGATCTGATGTGAATTTTGAGATCAACGTCAACAATTTGCAACAATTGACATCGTGTAAATTTACTACAAATTATTATGTTGCCAATACTTGATGCAGAATTATATAAATTTGCCTAATGATTGTACAAATTCTTTTAGATATTTTAATTAATATGAATTGTACTTAAGCGAATCAAATTATATTGCATACAATATTACATGATCCAATAATGATCAATCGTGGTTGTTAGATTCCTTGTGTTTTTAAATTTATATGAATAATTGTACTTGATGTACCAATTTATCATGATTAAATGTCATTATTAAAGTATTAGTCACAGTTGAATGTACATTACATTGTACGTTATTTTAAAATATTTTATAGGTGCTATAAAAATAATATTGTAAGAT